CTCTCTCTGTAAACCCCGCATGGGAAATCTCAAATACGAGTCTGTTTACCTGGCACTTGAAATCCCGGTGGATATCGATGATAAGATTTCGCCTCCGTCGCCCTCGCCCTATACCAACTCCGCCGCGTCACGTTTCCTGTAACCCTTCCCCTTTCCCCATTCCCTTCACGACACAATTCTCCGTTTAGATTATGCAATTTGTATCGCGCGTGTTAACTACCTTTGCGGTCCGACCGTTGCGAGTGCAATAATAGCTCTCGCCGTATCAGGTCGCTAGGACTTCCCTCGAGAACACCCAACTCGTTCTGGAAGCGTACGACGCGGACGATTGCGGCATGATTGATCTTACAATGCATACATTATGCGTTACGCGGTATTATTGGGAACGATTAAGGTTTCCGACGTGTAGAGTTATGAATTTATTTGTTTATTTGTGTTAATTAACTCGAAATTTGTCCTATATTTATATTGAGAAAAATGAGTTCCGTCAATCGTTAAAAGCATTAAGTGAAATATCCAAAATAGATTAATTTATTTAAATTACGTCTTTCTTTTTTTATTGATCAGCATAAAGATTAGTTTTTTTCATAATGAAGAACAAAATTTCGAATAAAAATAAATTAACAATAAAACAGCGGATCGTTCAGAAACTTTTAAATTTTTAAAAAGCGACTCATTCAGAAATTTTTAATTCTCGAATTTCTCGTTTGCAGCTCCGAAATAACTTATAAAAATACAGATTTCTCTCTGAATAAATCAAGATTCAGTGCACCGAAGCGATACATATCTCTCTTAGGAATAAATCGTAATGTTTTATGGCTGATACATTTCAACCATGGTTTATACGCAAATTAATTTAACAGAGTGCAAGCGAAGTGAAAAACTCAGGATCAAAGACCACCCCCCTGTGCATCCCTGTTTTTATATCACAACGTTCAAAATGCAAGACACATGTGTTCGAATATTCTCTTTAATAGTTTAACCTGTCTTGTATCATGATCATATTTTTTTAATGAAAGTGACGGATGTAACAACTTCCTTCTCTCTCAGTTCATGTTCATTCTCGGGATTTCATTAACTAGGCGTTACGTGATGTGATGATAAGCGAGTTGCATCAACCTAGGGCGGAAATGTTGTTTTACAAAATCCGGTAGAGCTGAAATTTCGACTCCGGGAATATTCGTCCATGGTGCGGATGAAATTGGGATTTGTCGGATTTGCGGATGCTCCACATTGCGCTACGGCGTTACGGATATCCGGATTTTTCAATATAACAGGTAATCTCAATCAC